CAGCGTCCGGAGGACACAGCAGGGATCGCGGACAAGGTAAGACCTATGCTGTATTCCTGAGTGTGGCTCGGGGTTACTGCTTTGTTAACCCCGAGCCACACTCGGGGATGCCAATCGATACGCGCTGAAATACGCCCCAAAGAAGCTCCTGTACTTCTTTGGGCGTAGGGAGTTTTTCAGCGCGTTTCCACGCGCTGAAATACGCCCAGGTGGGAACCATGCCCATAGGAAATTATGGGATTTCACTTGCTGAGCATTTTTCTGCGCTTCGATCAGTGCTGAAAAACGCCCAGGTGTGAACCCAGCCTTAGGACCCCAGTAGTAGAGACTGTTCACTTAGCAAAGTAAATGTTATTAAATAAAGTGAAGCTTTACCTAATTACAAAATATTGTTCTTTTATTTGTATTTCCATTGTACATGATTGGGTAGTCAAAGAAAACATAACACTCGGTTTAAAAACATTCACTTTGCTAAGTGAACAGACTCTGTTCCATTAGGAAGTCATCCCCAGTGTGTCGTGATATGACAAGAGCTATGATGCAATCAGTTTCCTCTATCAGTTAATATATCAAAAGATTAAAAATAATTAAATGAATGTGTACTTATAGATGTTGCATTTTTTCTTGTTTGGAGTTGATCCTACAGTCGAAATATAATTTACATGCCACACCATGCACATATACATCCGATAAGCCTGTCATAGACTGTAGGAAGGAGACATATGGTGTTTCTGCAAAGCATATTATCACTGATCAGATATTTATGAGTTTTCTTTTTTCTTCTCGGCAGGTCCAAGCCAACGCCGAGTGATGGAATCAAGTCAAACCCGTCAAAGAGGCACAGAGACCGTCTCAATACTGAGCTGGATAGATTAGCCAGTCTCTTGCCCTTCCCGCAGGAAATCATAACTAAACTTGACAAACTTTCTGTGCTCAGGCTAAGTGTCAGTTTTCTCAGGGCCAAGGGCTTTTTTGAAGGTAAGATATGAATAATGATGTCCTCCCATATTTTGTTTTGTATTCCTTGTTGCCAAGTACATTAAAATATACTTAATTTCAGTAGAAACCATGTTCTATGATACTCAACATTAAGAGCAGGAGAACCAAAATGTTACCCCCTTCCTCTTACTAAGCATTTGTACCTTTTCTAACTATTGGATGTAAAGCAAACATTGGGCTGTTTGCAGTCAGTGTTGTTTCTATCTTTGTTTCTCAGAAACCAAAATCTTCTGCTTTGACTTAGCAAGAGCTCATGGCTTTGTTCAAATCTAATTATTAAGATATAGACATTTGTAGCATTTGCAGATTTATTATACAGTTCTAATATGGATTTACTTTTGTAATAAATCTTTAAAGTCCATTTCCACCTTTTGTAAGTGATTTGCATTTATTGTGGTAATGTGGAGGTGCAGTGATGATGTACATGTGTGCACGTTTTCATGACTCGCATTGCAGGATTTCTAAATTTTTTTTTATGAAGGTTTTATTAGGCTTGAAGCCTAAAAAGTAAAAATTTTCTCCACAGAAAATTCAGTCAGACACCAGGGAGTCAGACTGTAATCAGCTGCCCCCCTCCCTGTCACCCATTGTAACATGATCAGTAAACACCAGCTCTGCCTTTACACACAATACATGTCTGGAAAGGGGGGGAAGATATACACACATTTCTTGCACAGTACAGAGGCAGAAATTTCCATGTGGATATGAAGAGAAAAGCTTAAACAAAATTCAGTTTCTGTGTTCATATACAGTACATCAGCTACATATGTTTTTTTTAAATACCTCTGCAAAGGTGGAAATGGGATTGAAAGTTTTTTGTGTTTTTTGTAAGCATTTTCCTTGCATAAAAAGAAAGGTCTGTATATTCTTTATATGCCACATGTAAAAATGCAAAGTTAAATACAAAATAATATCAAACGTTAGGAAAAAAGGAAAATAAACTCATATTTTCTCCTAATTGATATTTCTTTGTCCTTCATTGAGGAACACAGGATTCAAATACAGGAAGATTTGGACACGGGTAAACTAAAAATAATGACCAGCCTGGCATAACACCTCCTAATCTCATGGGCCCGACACAGACAGCCTGGACCCTGTTCCCTTACACGAGTCACTACATTTCTCCTTTGCTCTATTGGGTGTGGTCCCCTCCTCAGCTTCATGCAGTTATGCAGGAGTTTATGGGCCAAATGGCAACTTTGGCTGCTGTCTTTGAAAGCAGAGGATGTAAGCATACTTTAATGCCTTTCCCTCCAGAATTATTGTCTAATCTACTCGCAGCTATAACGGCCTCTGAGCCTTCTGCTGCAGAGCCTGTGTCTGATGAGGAGTCTTTGAAATCCTTGATTGATTATTTTTGTCCCTGAGGACACACAAGCAGCCGTCAGACATAAAGAAACCTTCTCAGGTCTTATTGCCATTGTGCATACCACCTTAGAAATGGAAGAGCAGCCCGTGGCTTCTTCTAGTTCTATAACTACTCTGGGATCCCTAAGAAGCCCTAAGACTAGCAAAACCTTTCCGGTGCAAGCTGTACTCCAAGGCATCTTTTAGGGTAACTGGGGAACTCACCACTGTTGTACTACCATAATAAAGTATCCGTGTTTTCTCTAGCAGGCCCTACATTGCAACTGACCATGATGTTAGTCTGTCAACCCTTATGAGAATGAACTAAACTCATGTTAAAGAATTCAGCTTTTATATACACTGATCCTTATTTGTAGAGCATTTAGAGCTCATGCTGACAACCCTACACTATTATGTATATGGGTATCACCCATCTTATTTCTTATACGAGTTTCCTATCAGTGAATATGGGGAGAAATGTTAGTCTGTGGAGCAACAATGCAAAAAGTGCCTACTGCATATGCCCTTTCAAGGCAAAGGTGTCATGGGGGTTTACGGTGTGTAAGAGTACTCATCATTTCATAATTTACCCCAACTTGCAGTGTGTGGTTAGCTGCCACTTTTAGTATTCAGTGTGTGGGAGGTGGGGGGGGGGAGATGTGGACTCTGCAGTAACTCTGTCTCAGATGAACTAGCTCTGTGGAGGTTGTGTGTACCACATAGGACACAGCAGCCATGGCTGACAACCCTTAAAACTCATGGGATGTGTCAAAGACAGGCTTAGTCAGTCAGTGGGTCTTGTATGAGGCTCTGTTCCTACAAAATGGAAGAGGTGCACAGTGGGGAGGGGCTGAACAGAAAATTGCAGAGCGACACAGATCTCCACAAAGCACCAGAGGTAGGGGCATGTGGCAGAAGCAGATGAGGCCAGAGTTTATCTCTAACATTTGCTTCTACTAAATCTTTTTCTTTCCTCTCCTATTATATAATTGTTTTACATTTGGAGGCACTGTCATCATTTTTTGTCTTGTGAAATGAGAAAGTGTCTTTTTATTACTTTAAATAAGAGTTCTATTTGTTAAATAAAAAAAATAAGAGTTCATATTTTTGTGTCCGTGTCTACAGAGATTGTTTTAAATGCAGAGTTGTTGCAAAACTGGACACAATATATGTATTTAAAATGTGTAACAAATGGCATCCATTACTGGATTTATTGTAATCTAGAGTCACCTAGTGTAAAGTTGGTGGTTAAAAGGGGGAAGAGTTCTCCTTGAAGAAGACAAAGTAATTTATAGCACATTACTGATCCTTCCCTGTAGCTAAGGAAGGAAGATACAGCTGTACTTGTGAACTACATCATGCATTGCTTAAGGCTAATTTTCAAGTCTTGTCTGCTAGTAAATGAAAGCAGAGCTTTCCATTATGCTTTTTATTTAATATAATTATGCAACAGAAATGCTGTATTAAGTGTTTATTTTTTTATTTTTTAGCATTTCCTATTACAATAATTCTTAATTATATACATGCAGACAATTCAGCATTTGGGGTTTTCCAATACAATTGTGGCTTCTCGGTGTTAAATTTGTCATACAACATTGTAAGGGTTGAGATGGCATATGACTGCTGAGATCACAGGCACAATGTACAGAGCCAACCAGAGTGGCTCTGTACCTTGTGATGACAATTGTTTACATTTGAGGGCCCTCACCTTCCTTTCACAACAGAGGAAGGAGGATTTAGTGAGTGAGGGATCATTCATTACTAGCAGATCATAGACCGCAGCAGATTCAAGGTGATTATGAGATTGACTTTAAACCTTACACCCCACTCCTCTTCTGTACATCTCATCTCCATCCTGTCTCTGTATATTAACACCTCCCTTATCATGCACATCTTCTCCTTATCATCCTCCCACTGTATGTGAGTGTGAAGTGAATGTTTAAGCACCTCAATGTTTGTCTTTTTGTCTTTTATATAGTAAAAATGAAAAGCCTGGTGGTTATTATCTACTACCGAAAGAAAGCTCTATGAGGGGAATTTATCAAAACTGTAGCAGAGAAAATCTGGAGCAATTGTCCATGGCAACCAATCAGCTTCTCTCTTCAGTTTGTTCAGCTAAGATTTGAAAATTAAATTGAGAAGCTGATTGGTTGCTGTGCACAGCTGCTCCAGATTTTGATAAATTCCCCTCATTGTGTTTCCAAAAATGTCATGAAGCTCATTTGAATAAACATTGCATGACTGATTATATTGGCAGTCAAACTATGACAACACTGAAAGTGGCCTGGTAATCAAGGGGTATGTACAGGCCAGTACTCAAGTGGTTTATTATTGTGAAGCCTATATTCAAGTTTGTCTTCTAGATTTCTGACATTTCTGTTGGGCAGGTGTTCCCTTTGAGAGTATGAAAGAAGAATCTGATTGGTTATTGTGGCTACCTCTGAAGTGTAGGAGGCTATACGTTTTCTGCTTCTTTTTCTATGTCCTTCACGGTGAACAAAAGACCTGAGGCTTGGATGACTACAGTTATAGTAACCATCACTTTGAGAATACTTGACAGAAAGTGGTGTTTTTTTTTTCAGTCTCCTCTAGATAGTGAGTGAGGGATCATTCATTACTAGCAGATCATAGACCGCAGCAGATTCAAGGTGATTATGAGATTGACTTTAAACCTTACACCCCACTCCTCTTCTGTACATCTCATCTCCATCCTGTCTCTGTATATTAACACCTCCCTTATCATGCACATCTTCTCCTTATCATCCTCCCACTGTATGTGAGTGTGAAGTGAATGTTTAAGCACCTCAATGTTTGTCTTTTTGTCTTTTATATAGTAAAAATGAAAAGCCTGGTGGTTATTATCTACTACCGAAAGAAAGCTCTATGAGGGGAATTTATCAAAACTGTAGCAGAGAAAATCTGGAGCAATTGTCCATGGCAACCAATCAGCTTCTCTCTTCAGTTTGTTCAGCTAAGATTTGAAAATTAAATTGAGAAGCTGATTGGTTGCTGTGCACAGCTGCTCCAGATTTTGATAAATTCCCCTCATTGTGTTTCCAAAAATGTCATGAAGCTCATTTGAATAAACATTGCATGACTGATTATATTGGCAGTCAAACTATGACAACACTGAAAGTGGCCTGGTAATCAAGGGGTATGTACAGGCCAGTACTCAAGTGGTTTATTATTGTGAAGCCTATATTCAAGTTTGTCTTCTAGATTTCTGACATTTCTGTTGGGCAGGTGTTCCCTTTGAGAGTATGAAAGAAGAATCTGATTGGTTATTGTGGCTACCTCTGAAGTGTAGGAGGCTATACGTTTTCTGCTTCTTTTTCTATGTCCTTCACGGTGAACAAAAGACCTGAGGCTTGGATGACTACAGTTATAGTAACCATCACTTTGAGAATACTTGACAGAAAGTGGTGTTTTTTTTTTCAGTCTCCTCTAGGATATAGAAGTCATGGATTAGAAGCACATTTTCTGTTTGTTTGGATAACAGCATAGACAGTTAGGCCTGGGCACTTGAAGTTGCCCTGTCACCAATCTAAAGCCTGAAATTATTGATCAGTAGAAATCATCCCCCCAAAAAGTCCACTGGAAAACTGACAATTCTGAGAGTATAGATATTCTTG